CGCAAGAATCCGTATATTCTAATGACCAGCTCCCTCTTCCTCTTGATTGGTGGCGGAACCCAAGTTGTGCTGGCCATGCTGTATGCCATGGCTGCTGATGTTAGCTCAGAAAAGGAAAAGTAAGCAACTCCTAATGATTCCAACAACGAATACACCTAGAGAAATACTGACTGCAAATCACTCGATTACCTTCTCTAGGGCTGCTAGCTTCCTTCAACTCACATTTGGTGCTACCGTCGGTGGCCTCGCTGGTCCCCTCCTCAATGGGTTCTTGATGGAAAAGTATGGCCCTTGGGTTCCCATTTTTGTCTCCATCTGCTGCATGCCCTTCATCTTCCTATCATTCGGCTTCCTCCCAGAGACGCTCCCGGTTGACCGGAGGAAGAAAGGAGGCGACAGCGAGCTATCTATTGAATCGATCAAGCGAAAAGTCGGCGTAGCCCTGGTCGAGTTCAGAAAAGCTCTAAGCTTGTTTACAAACCCCAGCATTCCTCTTATACTCCTTACTTTTCTGTTCCAGGCCGCACGATATACCGCCTATACCAGCACGATATTGCAATACGTCAGCAAACATTTTGGATGGCGCCTCGCGCAGACCAGCTTCCTCCTGTCGCCCTTTGGACTTCTCAACTTGATCGTTCTGGCTATTCTTCCTAGGATTTCCACGCTTCTCATGGCACACCGGTTCGGCTATTCTTCCTTCAACAAAGACCTGCTGTTGACACGATATTCTACCGCGTTGCTTTTTGTTGGCGCCGTCATTGAGGGCTTCAGCCACAACATTGTCTTATTCATCATTGGTCTGTTCATCGAGACCTTTGGAGCCGCTGTGAGCCCCTTGGCGCGAGCCACCATTACGCACTACGTCGACCCAGAGCATACTTCTACGCTCTATGCTTTGATCAGCACGACTGAGATTTTCGGCACCTTTATTGGAGGGCCCGCGCTGGCATGGTGTTTCGACCAAGGCTTGCAGAAGAAGGGACTCTGGATTGGCATGCCTTGGTTTTACATTGCGCTGCTATGCTTCATCGCCTGGACTGGACTTTTGTTTGTGCAGCCTCCGCCGGCAAAGAGCAGTTTAACAGACGAAAATAGTGAGGACGGGAGAGTTGACTCTCACGAAGATTAGCTCAATTTGAAGCTTCTGTAATTCATAGATCTTCATTTCCATCTTTTATTGTACATAGAATGAATTTCAAGCGTAAATAGGAGAGAGACGCGACAATTCTGCTGTGTCCAACATCTTTCTGACCATCTACCTATTTATACAAGAACCATAATCGGCAGCATTGCCTCTTGCTTGCTCACTGTGGAATAGGTATTCAGTGTTATCAGTTCACCTGCCTAAAACGGCGACGGCCAGCTCCTTAGTGCACGCCTCCAATCTTCAACCCATATTCGCCAAGCCAACCCGCCAATTACGCCTTCAGGCCGCGCAACAATCACGCGGCCTGTGACGAGCTCCAGCGAAATAAGTTTAAACAAAAGTGCCCCCAATAGCGGACGGTTCTTCCCCACTATCTGCAGGAACTAGAGCTATGGCTGGATAACAACAGGGCAAAAAGGGCAAAAGGCAGCAAGATAAACGATTATTAACAAGGGCTCTAGTATCCGGGTGCTGAGTTTATGAGTCAACGCCGACGTAACGGGTACAACTACCGGAAGTCGTCAGCACTGCTAGAGTCGATTTGCGCGATGTGCTCCGCGCGTTAGTTGGGTCTTTGTGTCGTCAATGATTAGGCGGCAGGTTATGTGTGCGTGGTGGAAATACGTATACGATGTATACGGCCCCCCTCTGAAGAATCTGATAGATTTGGTAGAAGTGGCTATCAACTGCGTGTGGAGGTTGATATAAACATTGTCTAAGCCTCCCCCACAGTCTCTGAATGCATGTATTCTTCAGCCCTACATCTCAAACAAGCTTTTGAGAAACACCGTGCGATATGAGGTTATAACTACTTATTGTAATAATAAGCATTTGTTTGACTCTATCCATAAAATGATCCACCACCGGGCCTACAACGCTACGGCATGTGGTGATGGCTTCCTTGGCCCTGGCGTCTGGGCTGAGGGCTGTCGAGGCGGTTTCGATTTCACATGTGCGACAAACAGCTTTCTATGATTCAAGTACAGTATTTTATCATAGATGTTTTTGCTAACCTACCATTTCTTGCGCAGTGTCCTTTGAAGAAAGCATTCTATCAGTTCTTCCATCTGCCTTGTTTCTTTTGCTTTCGATACCGAGAATCGCGTATCTCCTACGGTCCCCTGATAAAACAAAGCGTCGATCAGCATACACACCAAAGCTTGTCAGTTTCGCACTTTCGAAATTGCAAATGTCATAACAGGCTCCTAATTGATTGCCAATAGATCGTATCGAGCGCATATGCCGGCATCCAGGTTGGATGTCTAGCCCTCACAGCCTCATCACGACAACTCGACACACGATTCTCCATCGCCGCCGCCGTCCTCAGCCTCGTCGCCGCATGCTGCATCGTCCTTCTTTCGCACATTGAGCACGTCAAGTCGATTCGTCCATCTTTTCTGCTGACCTCCTATCTCTTTACCACTCTCCTCTTCGACGCCGCTCGATTACGAACGGAATGGCTCCTCTCCGTCAACGTCTCCTACGCAGCGGTGCTTTCGACCTCGACAATATTAAAACTAGCCTTGCTGGTATTAGAAAACATTGAAAAGAGGCGGATTCTGCTCGACTCGAACAAAACCCCGTCTACGGAGAGCACGAGCGGGCCATTCAACCGCGGCTTCTTCGTATGGCTCAACTCGCTGCTCATCACCGGCTGGGCCACCGTCTTGACGCTCCACGATCTGCCCGCCATTTACGAAAAGCTTTCATCTGAGAAACTTGCGGTGATCTTCTCGAAGCGATGGGACAAGGGTATGTTCTTCGTGTCCTATTTACATCGTCTGTTATTCTCGGCTGACAGGGTCTTAATTTTAAAGTGACTCATGGCGGACGAAGAGCCTCCCTCTTTCTCAACACCGTTTGGATCCTCAAGCGCGAAATCGCCGGAATTGTGATTCCTCGGTTGGCTGTAGTTGCCTTGACAATTGCCCAGCCTTTCCTCGTATCTCAAGCGCTGCGGTTTTTGTCCATGCCCAAGGACGAGCACTCTGACAATGTCGGTTACGGCTTGATCGGCGCCTTTGCCTTTGTCTTTATCGGATCTGCTGTGCGTCTCAAAAACTCGATTGTACACATATCTCAGTAGTCGTTGTAAGCTAATCATTTAATCAGATCTTAACGGCATGGTACGAGCATCTGACCTTCCGAGTTGGCGCCATGATCCGAGGAGGCCTAATTGGCCTCATCTATCGCAAAATACTCCGGCTTTCCACCAGCGACTTGAACGAATCCTCTGCATTGGCACTCATGGGCAACGACATTGAGACTCTGGCTGAACGTGCAAACGCTTTGCTCATTGAAGCGTATGCCAACTCTCTTACGGTTGGCATTGCCGTCTATATGCTGTACGCACAATTGGGCCCCGTCTGTGTTGCCCCTATTGTCATGGCTATTAGTAAGTGCTTCGATTCGGTCATTTCTTGCTACCTTCTATACTCACAACGCATAGTCTCCATTGTGCTGTGCTGGTTTATTGGAAGGGTTCTCGTCAAACGCCAAACCGTATATCAAAAAGCAACACAGGACCGCATCAATTTCACCTCTGAAGTGCTTGGTTCTATCAAAGCCGTCAAGATGCTGGGATACACTGAGCGTTTTACCGATCTACTTGAAGACAAGCGCGATCAGGACCTGAACGTTGGTAAACACTATCGAGAGATGATTGTATGGGCCAACACAGTCGGTAAGTTGATTCAATTTGCATATAATAATGGCTCTTTCCAGGATCAGATCAACTCATCTCTGCTCATCAATAGGAAACGCAAACGTCAGCTTAACTCAAGCCGCCACCTTTGGAGCCTATGCCATTGTCGCCAAGCTCAGCAACAATCAGTCCTTCTCAGCATCGCAGGCCATTACTGCACTGTCCATCCTCAACGTCATGGTCAACCCGCTCAGCTTTCTCCTCGGTAACATTTCAGCCGCCTATGCTGCCTTTGGCTGCTTCAAGCGTATCCAGGAATTCCTACTGCTTGACGAAAGAATCGATAGCCGGCAAATAAGTCCACAGTTAGGAGTGCCAACAAAGAGCGAGGAGGTCGGATCACGAAGAAGCAGTATGGAGCTCCGTCCCCTTGATCGTTACACGGAGGAAGGAGAGCGCATCTTCATTTCTGAGGGAGCTTTCTCGTGGAAGGAAAAGAAGGTATTGAGCAACATCAACGTATCCTTCTCACAAACACAGTCCGGATCTCTCACCACCATTGTTGGCCCGATCGGCTCAGGAAAGTCGAGCTTGCTCAAGGCTATTCTTGGTGAAGCATCCTCGACTGGAGGCAAAATCTCCTTGTCGACGCCGAGCATCGCGTTCTGTGACCAAACCCCCTGGGTGATGAATGCAACAATCAGAGACAATATTGTGGCGGAATCCGGCTTTTTCGACGATAAATGGTTCGATACGGTCGTCGACGCCTGCGATTTGACTCAAGACTTTGCGAGGTTGTCAGATGGTGTTTCGACCGTTGTTGGAGACAAGGGGGTGAAGCTCAGTGGAGGCCAAAAGCAGAGACTTGTAAGTGCTTTCTCATATCAGTTTGATGATAGATGCCTAATAATGCAAAGGCTATTGCCCGTGCCGTTTACGCCCGCAAGCCCGTAGCCATGTTCGACGACGTCTTCAGTGCATTGGACAAGACAACAGAACGCATCGTCTTTGCTCGCGTCTTCGGCAAAGACGGACTGCTCCGTCGAAGCCGCACCACCATCATTCTTGCAACTCATTCTGGTAAGGCATAAAACTCTCACTGTCACGAAATTGTTCCACAATTTACTAAAATAACTCGTCTAAGTTCACCTCTTGCCCAGCTCTGATCACATCATCGCCCTCGGCCAAGACGGTCAAGTTATCGAGCAAGGATCCTTCGCCAAACTTCGATCCAGCGGCAAATACATCCAGAGTCTGGACATCACCGAGCCACACCCCGAAGATGATGACAATAACAAAGACAGCCCCGAGTATGACGTTGTCGAAGAGATTAAGAACCTCATCCAGGTCAGCGAAGAGGCCGAACAAGAAACCGAAGCGGAGCAACCAGTATCAAGTGACCGCAGCACATTCAAATACTACTTTTCTGCGATGCGGCCCCTCAGTTTGGCTGTGGGCGGTGGATATATCTTTGGGCAAGCTTTCTCTTCTGCTTTCAGAGGTAAGTGGAACAGAGAAATATGATACCAGTTTTAATCTAATACTTTCTAGCTGTCTGGCTTACCTGGTGGGGTGATGGCCGAGGACGATCCAGCAACGATGTGGGTTACTGGCTGAGTATTTTTACCGTCTTGGCCGTTATAGAAGCTGTATTGATCTCCTTGGCAATCATGTAAGACTCGCCTTGTAGCGAATATCAGTTACCAACCTATTGACGATTATATCAGGCACTTCTTATTGATTATCGGACCTACCGTCAGCAAAAAGTTTCACACTAGAATCCTAAATGCAGTCATGAGGTAGGTTTTGGGAATAAGATTCTCTTGGACATCAGTTAACGTTGATATTAGGGCTCCCATGTCATTTCTTTCCAACACCGACACTGGCTCACTCATCAACCGGTAAATTTCTCCGCCTATTCCATTCATATCATCATCAATGTTTCTAATACACTTCTCTTGAAACAGATTCAGCCAAGACTTGCGTCTAGTCGATATTGACCTCCCTGTCAACCTCGCCATTTTCCTCTTTGGTAGTTCCTCTCCTCCTCCTCTCTCAATGCCGAAATTGATGAACTCAACTGACTTGATAAACACGTAGATGTCATGACTTGTATCAGTGTTACCGGACTGGCTGTTGGAGCAGTCAGCTACTTCGCCGCCGCTCTCCCCTTCATCATCGTCATCCTCCTCATAATCCAGCGCTTTTACGTCCGAACCTCCAAGCAACTTCGTATTCTAGAGTAAGCCTCGGTATATTTTCCCTTCCATACAAATCGAGTACTAATCTTGCATCTCCTTGAAGAATTGAACACAAAGCTCCACTATACTCGCACTTCCTTGAATCCATCAACGGCCTCGCCACAATCCGCGCCTTTGGCTGGATCCTCCCCTACTCCACCAAAAGCCTCACCCTTCTCGATAGCGCACAGAAGCCCTCCTATCTTCTCAATTGTATCCAGCGATGGCTTACCCTAGTCCTCGACCTGGTCGTTGCGATTCTCACCATCTTACTCGTTGTTTTCGCCGTCACTCTAAGGGGGAAGCTGAATCCCGCACTCCTGGGCATTGCGCTCGTGAATATGATGAACCTAGGTCTCAATCTCAAGGGCATCATCCTGGCATGGTCTCAGCTGGAAACTTCTCTCGGAGCCGTCACTCGCATCAAGACTTTTGAAGAAACAACTCCGTCTGAGCTGCTCCCTCATGAAGATTACACCCCCCCTGAAGAATGGCCCTCTCAGGGCTCCCTCGAGTTCATCGACTTATCCGTACAATACGAGTATATATCAAACCTATTTCATCTTTTCTCCACCAACAAGCTAATCCATTCATCACAGCTCCACTGCCCATCCCGTCCTCCGCAACATCTCCTTCACCATCCGCCCAGGCGAAAAGCTCGGCCTCGTCGGCCGCAGCGGCAGCGGCAAAAGCTCTCTCATCCAAGCTCTCTTCCGCATGGCCAACACTCCCACCGGCCAAATCCTCCTTGACGGCCAAGACATCTCGACAATCCCTAAACCCCTCATCCGCCAGAAACTCAGCTGCCTCACCCAGGATCCTTTCCTCTTCACCAACACGATCCGCTTCAACGCCGACCCTCTTGGCGTTCACTCCGATGAGGCCATCGCCGATGCGCTTCAGCGAGCCGCCATCTGGGACGTCATCACCTCTAAAATTGACGCCGGTAAAAACCCCCTCGACGAGAAAATGGACGAAAACTTCTTCTCTCACGGACAGCGACAGCTGTTCTGTCTGGGCAGGGCACTCCTCAAGAAGAGCAGCATCCTCATCCTGGATGAGCCAACCAGCAAGTAAGTTTACCCTGATTCTAATACGGTGAGGAAACAAACAGCTAATTGATCATAACTAGCATCGATAACCAAACCGACGCGCAAATCCAACGCGTCATCAAATCCGAGTTCAAAGACCGCACAGTCGTCATGATTGCCCACCGGCTTGATTCACTACTGGAATTCGATACAATCGCTGTGCTAGAAGAAGGTTCGCTAGCAGAAATTGGCTCTCCTAAAGAGTTATTACTGGAAGACGGTGGTGTTTTTGCGCAGTTGTATGATTCTGACAAAACGAATAAGAGGAGGAAATCAGACGAAATCTCACGAGCATAATGTTTTTTTATAGACGATAGATGACTTTACGAGTTCTTATGAAAGCGAGTATGAATTACAGTACAGTTTGGACATGGATATACAAAGTCGTGTTTAGTATATTTCTCTTTTTTTCATATATAGATTCTCTAAGCTGCCACCCAAGTTAATGCTATCCAAATATTCTGCATAAGCCAGATACGCCTTGCTACTTTCATATGCCATAGTAAATTTCAAAATCTGTTTTTGGATTCAAAAACTCAACAACCTCACCCCTCACCAAAACCTTGAGAGAAGCCCCCTCGTCCATCCAACTATCACCGTAGCATATACGTAAGATCCGGTATATCCCGTAAGAGTTTAGCCACGGTTTCCTCATCTTCAGCACTCAGACTCAGCCTGGCCGGCGAATACTGCATAGGTGACGCGCCGGCAGACATCGTATGTGCATGGCGAGTAGGTATGCCCTGAGGCGGCGTCATCGGTTTAGACAACGGGCTCGGGAACAGTGGTGTCGAAGGCGTCTTGGCTCCTCGTTTAAAGGGCTTGGCAAGCGTCTGCCCCAGATGCCAAGACAAGGGTCGCTTGCTGGCTTTCTCAATCTTTGGCGATGCGATTTTGGCACTATCGAATACCGTTTCAAACTGTAAAGCAGACTGGGGATCAATACTGCTACGATTGCTGTTGCTATTGAACCCCCTCTCATCCTCAGTAAAAGATGGCGAATCAATCGGTGTAGCGGCCATCATCTCGCCCCAGTCGTCGTCGCCATCTTCGTCTTGGCTTACGGGTAGAGTGGGTGGGATCTTGATAGGTGTGGGAATATGCCCCCGAGTATGAAGAGGCGGCGGCTCAAGCGCCAATGAGTGTCGAGCAGAGTCGATTTTCGGCTCTTTTGGTTCTTTAGGCGATTGGGCTTCTCGCTTATTTGGATTTTGAAACTCATTTGCCAAGGGATGTCTGGCAACCGCTGGTGAGGAAGGAACACTGCTCGCCCAGCCAAAAGACGATGCAGTAGGCGATGGAGCGGCAGACTTCACGGTCATGGACGAGTTTCTCGAATGCCTTCCCAGAAACTCTCCGATTTCTACAGGGGCTGTCGAGTTCCAGTTGAACATGACTGCGCCAGATCCGCCCAGCCGTCTACCCAAGACCACACGCCCAGTGATGGAGTCTTCTTCCATCCATCTCCTCACGGTCTGAGTAGTACGATCTCGAATCTGTGATCCGGACCAGCCGACTCGTACATAATTATCATCGTCCCCCAAATCATGCTTCCTCTTTGATCCAAATCGAGAAATTCGGTACCACGCCTTGCGCTCGCTGTTAGAAGCAAATGTGTCATCTATGATAACATCCGGAACAAGTTCTGCTTCAACCGCAATAGCAGGCGTCGACGGAAACAAGTCGTCAAGCTTGGTAAGATCGACGTTGTATGATATACCCAGATCTTTCAAGACCCAAGGTGTATCTTGCTCAGCTGGTTGAAACTGTGAAGTAGAAGATGGCGATTTCAGTTCTTTGGTCTCGCTTACAGCTGGAGACTCGGGAATCTCATCTTGCGATTCCTGCGGCTGGTGCTGAGGTTCTGTAGCCGTCTCGGTTTTTATGGGCGGCGGAAGCTGTTCACCTTCCGGCTCTGGAACAACGGTAGCATCATCAACCGCTTGTACAGCTGCGGTTGGCTGCTCCTCCTTCGTATCAACGCCATTTGGGATACTAATTGCATCCTCTTTCTGATCGGGCTCATCAGCTATAAACAGCTGTTCACCAGGCTCTTTATCATGCTCCTCCTGCTTCACGTCAAGCACTGGTATCTCGACATCCGGAAACGAGTCAGGTTCTTCAAGCTGAATGGCAGGGATCCCCTCTGGAGCCGGCGCTTCCGGCGCCACCTCAACACCCCAGGCATCCTCAGTGGCATCAACATCCAATGACGGCAATACAGCCGGAATACCGCTCTTCAAAATATCCTCTCTCTGCAATTGATGTCCCTCTCCAAGGCTGATTGCAGAGTCCACAACTCGACCGTCCCCGGACGTCTCAGAAGCTCTCCTCGCTCGTGACTCTCTTTCTTCCTTCTCCAGCGTCGTCGTGTCCAATCTTTGTAAAGCCACCTCTTTCCAGGGATCCGGCGACAAGGACCTCACTGACGGCGCCATCTGCAACGGCTTCAGCCCAGGACTTCTCCCCCAACCGGGACTCTCCTTGCCGCTGGCGCTGCCGTCGGCGGCACCACCGCCATTCCATCCACCCCAAGCATCGTCGTCTTCAAATCCGGGCGATCGTGACGGTGCAGGCGACCGAGAGTTGCGTCGAGGGAAGAGACTGTCGGCAGAGAAATGCGCATTCTGGGGCGCGGCTGGGAGCTCTATCTTTGCAGGAGAGTCTGCAGCCCACGGCGAACCCCAGGGATCTTCCATTCCAGGCGACTTGGCATGTCGCGATGCCAAGCAACTGCTATAGAGAGAAGAGAGGAGCCGATTGGCAAAAGATATATTATTGTAGCGCTAGGTATCATCAACTGAGTTGTAACATTGCGAATCTCGCGGTCGGGATCGAGTTCCGATAATAGGCAATCTCGCTTCTGCTAGAACGGCAATAGATTGTCCCTCTTAGAGCAATTGGAGATCGGGCAAATAGGAGCTGCTCAGTGGTATGCGCAATCGGATGAGGTCGGCAGTTTCGAAAAAGTTATCGACGATCTAAGAAGACTTAACAAGGTTCTCACCTCAACATCTGTAATTCCTTGGGTAAGCTGCGGTGAGATGCGATTGCAAGAGAGAGAGATAGAAAATGGGCGTGTAATGGGTTTAGTCGGACAATAATAGGCGCCGGCGCTTCAGGGGGGTCCAAGGACCTGCCTTAGCGAATTGCTTGTATTTTACGTGCCCCGCGCTTCCGCATCCACCCGCCCATATCGAAAGGAGTAACGGGCTTGCGTTCAACGACTCTGAAAACAAAATCACATTCACGAGACAGTGAATCTATGTTGAGTGAGTTTTCTCAAAGAGAGAAAGCCAGTGGTGCTGCCATTCAGCACCCCAAATAGAATTTCTGCTTGCTACTCCCTAGATACAATACATGCCAAACCGTATCATCGATAAAATGCAGCACCCTTGGAGCCATGCCATGCAAACAAATAAGCCCGGCCCAAAGCTAACGACCAGCTTTGAAAATGAGAACTCTCAGAATAACTGGCCCAATCTAGTATCGTCCAAAAAACTCCATGCTAAGTTGGTGTCGTCAAATCGTAACACGAAAATGCCGCCCGCGACCTCCAAAGACCATTGTCTCGCCTCATAGAGTGATTTCATGGCCGGGTTTCAGCTCCCACTCCTTGATTCGACCGGCTCCTTTCTTTTCCGCAACATGCTCAATGGTGTTTTTCACTTCTAACCGAGAGGCGCTATCTCTAAATTGATGGAAGATGAAATCAACAATGCCGACCTTTGAAAGAGCTTTGTTGTCTAAAATGGCCTGCTTGACGCCGTTCAAAAGCTCAGGTTTGACCAATTTGCCCGGGGCTGAGTTCGCACCACCTGCACCACCCAGCGCGGCGAAGGCGTTTGTCGGGACCGGTGGAAGAGCTTTGGCATCGTTTTCAGATTTGATAGTCTTTGGGGCCTTGCCCTTGGCAGCCTTGGTAACAGGCTCTGGCTCCCAGTACTTGCTTGAAAAGGGGTCAATGTCCCATTGCATGTCAAATCCTTCTATAAAGTATATTAGCACAGTTTGACAACGGATTTTTCCCCTGGATAATAACTCACCATGGATGAACTCCATCTTCTTATCATGTAACGCCAAGGCAGAGCCCTTTCGATTCTGGTCCTCAAAATAAGGGCCTACGATTTCGGGCTGCAGAGTATCCGCAAATATTCTTCTGGAGACACCAGCATCCTCAGAATCGTCAAGAAAGCCGTCCATATCGTCCTCATCATCCAGCTCCTCTTCCTCGTCCTCCATGTCGAGATCTTCGCCTTCTTCCTCATCTTGCCATTCGGCTTCCGAGTCATACTCATAGTCCAAAGGCAGTCGACGGGCCATGGATCTTCTCGCCAGCTTATACATGTTTCCTTTGCCGAGGGCAAACGATTTGAATGTTACTGTACCGTAGTAAGGCGGGCGCACGTCCTGCGAGAAAGCAATTACTTTCATAGGAATTTTGCTCAGTCCTGTTCGGACTTCCGTGAAAATATTGCTAGCATCTGCACTGCCGTTCTTTTCTGAGTTTTGTGCAGCCTTATATGCCGTCTCCATTATGTGCCTAACCGGCTGATGCAGTTTGCCGCGAGGTGGGGGAAGATTCGACAAGGAAAAGACGTCCAGAGGATCGAATTGGAGAGGAGCACTGTTATCCTTTTGCTGGTTCGCGATATAGTCGTCCAAGGCCTTTGACTTCGCTTCTTGAATCGTCTTATCAATTTGTGATACAATGGGTGCTAATCGGGCGTTTGCTTTGACGAAGAACGGTTTGAACATCTTTGAGTATTCCGAGATTGTTTGTTTTTCCTCTGCCGCCGATGAATTGACCTTGGCGGGGCTATAATCTTTGGCCGCATCATCTGCTTCGGCTTTCTTAGGGGTACTGGGGATCTTGAAGAAGCTCCCCAGCGTCTTTTGACTTCTGGCCTTTCGGTCCTTTTCCTCCTGAATGCGCTGCAGCTCCTCTTCCTTCTTTCGCTTCTTGTCAGCCTTGATACGATCCTCTTCTTCTTTCAATTTTCGTTTTTCCTCCTTTTCTTTTGCTCGTGTCGCCTTTTCTTCTTCCTTCTTAGCTTTTTCTTCATCCTTTTTCGCCTTGTCGGCAGCCTTTTCCTCATCTTTTTTGGCTTTTTCTTCATCTTTCTTGGCCTTGTCAGCAGCTTTTTCGGCCGCTTGAGCTACTGCTTTCTCCTCGCGCTCCTTCTTCTTCCCAGCAAGCTCCTTATCCCGGGCTTCTTTTTCTGCTGGAGTCAGACGCTTCCGTTTCGGTGGTGGATTGGCATTTGTAGCAGATCTTGAGCTGGATTGCAGCGCGGATGATGCTGTTGTCTCTTGTTTTGTAGATTCTGACGATGTTGACAGTGATATTAGGTCGTTTGCTAATAGCGTGTCGTCGCCTGGAACGTCTGATAGAGCTGGAGAGGATAGAGGAGAGGATAAACATTGGGATGCTGGCAGAAATCAGTATCATCACGGCTATCAAAATGGGCTCTTGGGGGGTTAATATTCACAGTCATCTTCAGGCTCTTGTATGCTCACCGGCGGGACGTTCTTAACATCTTCCGCCGAATCAACTTTGCCTGCTTCAGCAGAGAACTCATCGTGATTTCTCTTTCGACTAGAGGATTCCGACTCTCTGACATTATGTGATACCTCAAATAGAGGCATTGTTAATTGCGTCATGGTTTAAAAGACTTGAAAAGACCTCAATATATGCGTTTGTATTCGTTTAGTCGATATGAGGAACCTTTGATGTCGCATTCGCCGTGCCGCTAAATGCACAATTGCACAAACATGCAAAGGAGGGGAGAATCTTCAAGCTTGGCGATGCAGGCGAGATTTGGGCCCCAGTCTAGGCAATGAAATTGTTCACAGGTCAAATAAAGCACATGTGCCGTATCTACCTGGGATCCAGACAAGAGGAGCGATTGCGTGGATGCGGCGATTTGGAGGCAAAAGCGGCAGGCAAAAGCGGCACTGCGCAACAACGATGTTGTACAGAATGAGTATCGCGATCTCCAGAGACTAAAGACGCGTAAATTTGGCGCTTTCCACCTAAAGAGCGCGTTAATCGCTAAAGAGAAGGCCCAACCAGTGCGGCTAAAGATCGGAGAGATGGCGCGAAAGGTTGCTGTTCTAAATCCATACTAAATTCGACCCCACCACACTACACCTTGTAACAGCGAACTGCGATAGAATAGTAGAGGAAACCATTTGAGAACATGTGATGGTGTAGTGAGATTTATTGTAGAGTAGGTCAAATGATCACACGTATGCCGATATGCTAGTAGACAGTTGAGCCATACCGAGCGCAAAACAAGTCTACATATTTCCACAGCCTTCTTATATGTTGCTGCTCTTGGCTACTGGACGTTCTCTTACACCGTCGGATAACCCGAGTCTCATCAAAACTCACTATCATTCTTCATATAAGGAAGCAGGACTTCGATGAGTATTCCAACACTGGGTGAATATCAAGCACATGAAAGCGAGTTTGTGTCTCTATGCTGCGTCTTCTTTTTTAATCAATTCAAAGGATAACGCTTGCTACCTCCCTATGCACCAGCTTCTAGATATCGATGGCGGCAAAAATACCAAGCAACATTATGCCAATAAATTAAAACCACAAAAAGCCTACTCCAGCACGTTCTATCAAAAACATACTCGTCACAAAATCATCCAATGGAAGGGAAAATTAAGAGAGGTTATTATTTATTAACCATTACGTCATACTATCTTCTCTTTTCAACTGCCTTTCTTGGGCAACATTGAAAATACAGTTTTTTTTCTTCTCTCTCCGAGTCATCCATGCTTTCCGACGCCTCGCTCAGCCAGCAAGCTTAATTTCAGAAGCGAAAGTATATTAAATAATAAAAAAAAAAGGAAAAAATCAAGATGTATCCCGCTGTCCAAAGCAGAATGACTCTTCCCTAGCGACTGTAGATTCCCCCCTCCAATGCTCAAATTGGTATGAACATATCCAAACGCCAAACAATGCGAGTAATAAAAGCTATAGGAAAGAGCATAATACACAAAAGCGAATGAGTTTGTTGTTGATAAACAGTGATTCATACATAGCGAACGGAAGGTGGCTGAGGCGGCGTCGATCTATCGTCACGAGATTTTGTGGTATAGGTGTGCTGAATGTATGAGTTTCCCCCTGCTGCGAATCGATGGTTATCAATCGGGGTTGGCAATGTAAAGGCGCTGTGATGTAAGAGTGGCTGTTCGCTCGTCCACGCTTCCTCGTCTCTTCAGCTCCTCGGGTGATTTGACGCTCTTTTCTCTTGTAAGGGCCGAGTGCATCAGGGATTTGCTCGCAAGCCTTGGGGCCGCTCCTAGCTCGCCAACGTTGTCTGCGCGCTCAGCGCTGCTTCCACTATGCGTGCTCTGAGCTCTGCCGCTGGCAGCATCGTCGATGACGGGCATGGTGTCCTCGGGCTGCTCAGCCAGGCTCCCGGCCCTTTCAGGAGTGTCGCCGGGGCTCCATCTCCGTCCAGGCTGTCCAGTTATCGTTCCTGAGGAGGCTCGATAAGTGACGTTGCGGCGACCGCCGCTACCAACGCTGCTTCGTCCACTACTTCCCGTCCTACGGTGATGCGAGCGCGACGCAAAGTCCTCTTCTTCGCTGCTCTCCCCTTCCACCTCGGTGGCGCTCAGGCGCATGGGCACTCCTCCCACGCCCACATGGTTTTCGTTGGCATACCCAACCACTGGCGTCTTCCCGTGATGGCGGATTTTGGCGGCGACTTTTCCGGTAGCGCTAATGCCCGTGCTCGTGCGGCCACCTGACGAAGATCCAGCTGAGCCAGCTCCTCGGCTTCCTCCGCTGACCTCCAAGTTGGCGCGCATCTTGGCGGCACGCTGCTGGGCAGCCAGCCTAGGGTCCTCGTACTGAGCGCGATCGCACCATACCGTTGCCTTTTGTTTGCGCAGCAGGGCTACATAGCCGGTTGCCTGGGGCTGCCCAAAGGAGCGGTTAGAGATGGAGCGTCGAAGATCCGAGTTGGACGAGGTTCGGTACGCAGCGGGCGGCTGTATGCTCGAGTTGCTGAATGTGCTGACAGAGGGCGATCGCCGGTTGTTGAACTGTTGATTCGACATTTGGTGCGACAAAAGCATAGGCGGGGGGTGTTGCGGTTGCGGTGGAAAGACGTTGGAGGACGTTGTTCGCGAGCGCGAGTGGCTATAGACGCCTCCCTGATCCATTTTCCTGCCCGGCAAGCGGTAGCCCGATCGGCCTTGACGCGGCCTCTTCTGTCCCTTGTTGACGCTTGGCGATGGCCGTCAGGAGAGAGAAAAATCGAGGGTTTGGGATGGCAGTATCCTCGGTCAGTGGGGGGGATGCCCGCCGATGGAGTCCCAGCAGCGAAGTTCCCGAGCGAGACCGACTTCTCCGGCCGCCAGGGTCCGGCCAAAAAGGAAAATAAAAAGGTGTACTAGTATGCTTGTGAGAACAGCGGTCCAAAATCGTGCAGGCTAGGAGAGAGCAGCCGCACAGAGAGGATGCAGGTTCATGGCAAGAAGATACAGAAAAGAAGTGGGAGGGAGGGTGAGATATTTGATGTGACTTTGCGTGGAGCCTCTGCACTTTGGCGACTTAGCGCTGCAAAGTCCCACTATAGAGCCTAGAACGGCACCTAAGCGCAAGGTTCTAGCCAGCTGAACCAGCTGTGCAGTTGGGGGGGATGGCGCGCTAGCGGGCCTGGAGAGGGGAAAGGCTGCAAGAGTTGGCGGGCAAGGATTACCCGTGCATATTGGTGGTTGAGTGAGCGCATTCCATTCCTCGACGTGCTGCAAGAGGCACCAGATTGTGACGATACGTGGAATCATCCAGAATGCTCCGGAGACTGGCCTAAGCAGCGCCGCGACATTGCAGCCCGTTACTCAGCAGACGGGCAGTCTTTGCTCCCCTCAATGGCTTGCGGAACACTAAATATTTGGAAAGACAAACAGAGTTGAGGCGAGAAACAGAAATCGAGTAGGTACAGAGGGGCCGGCCCCGGTGGTGAGAAACATGTGCAGCCCGCCTGCGACATCGCGTGTTCATTAGCGGGCAACTATTCGAGCTTACAGGATGGCGCTTCCTTGGCGTGGGAACTGGCTCGAGATTTGATCCGATGGGACAGCGCCAGAGAAGCTCGAACAGGGGCCGGAACACAAGGCTCCGGCACTGACGTTGATATGGCAGAACACTCCATGCAAGAATACTACGATGCCATAACGTTGCACTCGCTAAAGAGCAGAGTACCGAAAACCTCAACTGGTAGCATCTACTGTAACAGTTTTGCCTTCAACTTAAGCAGCTCAACCGCGTGCTTCAGATTAATTGCCTTCCGTGCGTCGGTCTCCATCTGTCATGTTTGACTTTGATGTCATCCCACGTTTCCCAAAAGCCAAAACAGAAAAGAAAGTAAAGTCTAGCTTCCCGATTAAGCGAACCCAAATTTCCCCCGTTTCATTATCCAATCAAGGGGGCTCTTGATTAAAGGCCCTGCCAGCGTTTCAATGTCATAACTGAAGCGAAACAAACCTGACGAAAAGAGAAGAAGAAAAACGCCTCGGCAAATACCCATCAGGGTATGGAATCTGCCTTGCCAGGGCGCCCGGCGTCTTTTCCATTTTTTTTGTGGAGGTCTGGTGCCTCTCTGTTTTTTTCTTCTCCTTCTTCTTCGCTCTTCAGTGGAGCCTCGTGCAGCTCTCCACCGCTGATGTCACCGGCATCGCCGGGAATTAAAGAGCAAAGTTGAACATGATCCCATCAATTGGTCCTTGCGAGAGGCCCGGCCTGCTTCTCCGCAGTGCCACAGGCGTAGCATCGGCTCTCCCAAGCTCGGGCATCCAGCGCACCCGTTCCTAGATCTTTGCCTTTGCTGCACTCGGCTGTCGCCTTGCGAGATTTAGCGCAAGTGTGTGCTGATTAGAGCGACACGGAGTCTTACGATTTCCCAACGGGGGCCCAGACACAGTCAGATCTCATTAAGCTTTGGGGCGGCCAGCGCAGCAACGGCGTGATGACAGGAACATGCATCCAGGAACACGCTGCTGGTATTACGTAGACGACTGCAGTTAAAGGCAAAGAATCGGCGGCCATTCCCTTGCGGCACGCACGATATCACACGGGCCGTGTCTTCTCGGTCAGGTCGGTATACGGATCATCGTCTAGCGAGATTCACCAAATTCCAGGCCGGCTGCTGGCCAGCCATTGCCTGGGCGCCGCATCCATTCCTCCCGCAGATCGCCAATTGAGACACTGCGCAAGTGGAGATGGCAGACGACAGAGCTTCAAAATCGCGGGGATGCAAAATCTCACGGCAGTGGGGCTGGGACCATTTGCTGTCTCGCAACGAAACGAAGTGGGAAATACACATATTGCGTTCAATCCTGATTGTGGAGTACTTGAATATGTTGGCAGCAGCATGCACTATCCCATCAGACATCAGACATTTTACTTGCTTGTAAGGGGCAGAGAGCAGTTTACACCCTCTTCCAGGAACAGATGACTCCAATCCTAATTTGTCCATCTCCATGCGGCATAAAGAATGTTCAGTCACTAGCTCAGAATCATCCACTTGGATTGTTGACGATTTGGGCTAATAACCAGACTTTCACCTGCATTCATTGTGCCGTGCATGGGTGTTTCCTTGTTTGTTGGTGCATGCAGCATAGTACATCCATATCCAGGTGCTACTACTACTAATATAGTATTACAAGCATACCACTACGATACTAAGTGGATGGACCTTTTTCTAGCACCATCCAGCACTGCAGTGTGATAATGTTCGTTGATACCTACTAGGACCACTTAGTATGTGAGTATGCCGGTTCCTATGGTGCCATTACTAGCGGTATTACTGCTCCGGCCTCATTTTCCATGGGTTACATTATGCGGCCAATTTTTGTACAAACTACTGTGGGTTGACGTAATAGATTTTTTCTTTCCAATTTGACAATTGCCAGACTGAGCTCGGAACAATTGATGCCTAGACAATTTTGCATTGCTCCAACTTACACCACCTCTGCCAACGAGAAGCGTTGCATTGGGCGGCGTAAAGCTCCTCGCTTAGGAGTGAAGGATATTGGGGGCCGCGGGTTCATCCGCCGAAATGCCAATTCATGGAGTAACGGTCTGCAGACATTTTGTATTTCTGTCAAGCTAATGCAAGGGAAATGCCAATAGTCAACGCCCCCAAGTTATCACCCGATATCCCAAAGGTACTCGATGTTTATCATGTACCTAGGCACAGCATGCATACCTGGACTAGCCAGGAAAGGGAAACTCTCAGAGTGCTTGAGCCACTTAATAAATTCGTGATTACTTCTACCTTCAAAAGAGAGACAACTAATTGTCCTTTCTGCCTCGTGGAGAGGGTATTGCTTACATTATGGGTTATATAAGTAGATGACTACCAGGGCATTGCGGAAGACAAGCTTGATTAGAGATTCCTTTTATTTCTCTGTATTCCATGTTACAAACTCTCACTTCCCTAATATCTTGAGCACACGTTAAACAACCGATATCTATTTTGGCTTCCATAGGCCAAATTCCTAACTCCCCTTTCCATTGATAACCGTATCTGATGTAAATCACGCTGAAGTTCTCTGGAATGAATTGCGCATTATTACCCCCGTGCCACCTTTCCAAGACGCCAGCCTAAGCTGTGTTTCCCTCTTATATCTATTTGGCAGGTATTTCTGGGACGAAAAGCCTACCATAAAGTTTAATAATATTTTGCGCGGCGGAAAATCTTAGAGAACATGGACGATCTGCGAGGCTTGCTCTCTTCAGGCGGGGTGCTAGACTTGGGATGCTGGTCCAATACAATCCGTCCACAGTTTTTGCGTTCGCAGTGGCTGCAACGGGATTCTTTCAGATCGAAAATCTGGACATGGACTTTTTCGCATTGTGAGGAGCCATCGGCCCGCTTGTTGTTTAAAAGTTCATATTCCCGGTCGTCGCATCTAGAGAGCTCGATGCGTTCGTCTATGTAATGTCCCTTTCTAATTCTTCCCTGAAGACCTTCTTCTGGCTGAAGCTCAAATTTCACTGGGGGGGCATTGCAAGCATAATTCAAGCACGGACAAAACCCATAGGTATGCGTGATGCGACACATGTTGCTTGTTAGTGTTGGTTGTAATGAGCGCCTTCTAAGTCTTGTATCTACACGGTGTTGCTGTTCGGTCTTTCTCAAATCGCGATTGTTGACGGCTGGTGTTTGCTTCTCTGGTGGTATTTGTTCGAATGCATTCATACAAACTATATCCGTGGTATGTTGATATCATGGGCTTTTATATTCAGTTGAAAAGCAGCCATTTCAACAAGCAAATAATCTTCTACTCTCATAATGTCATGATTTCATGGATCAGAGGCCTTTAAAGGGAAACTGTTCAACTCGATTCCCTTGTTCACTTTCAATTTGGACCTGTTCTGTTCAAACCTGGAGCAATTCGTGGCCATTTAGCAAATAATCCTTATAGCTTCACAATACAAAGGCCTTTGAAGCAAAATTGTTGACCTCGACTCCCTTGTATACGTCCTATTTACACCTCAAACCGATGCATGGCCATTTGGCAAATAATAGTTTGTTATCCTCATAACTTCACGGGTCAGAGGCTTCAAAGTAAAATCATTGATTTCGATTCCCTTGTTTACGTGCTGTTCAAATCTCACTGATCAGAGTGCTTTTTAAAGCAAAGTGCTTGAACTCGACTCCCTTATTTAGGCTCTATTCCAACCTCAAAGCGCTGTGTCCTGAGCTCTGCCTTGTTAATACTAGTACTTCCCTCGGCTTACACAATCTGTCTACTATTTCCTATCACTTCATGCAGTCACCATCAAACAATATCAACGCCATCACTGCCACCACCTCTTTCAGCATCATACAATATCAGCGCCGTCACTTCACGTTTCAAAGTAATTCTCTATCAAAGTGCCAAAGACCGCCCCCACGATAATGCGTCCAGTGCGGCTGAATTAGGATCAGGGCACGCGGCGGCGCTCGGGAACAGCGATAAGTACTAGCGATATCAGGGGCTCAATGCACCAAAATAGCTCTTGTCCTCCACCGCTCTTTGAAGCTTAGCAATAGCCCGGACTGGGAGATTCACTATTTATTCCTTTGAGAGCCTGATACAAACCAGAAAAACAAAACACCTGGGAACAGCATCCAAGACCTGTAGTCGAGCGATTGGATCAGGCCGCGCAGATCATACAGCGCAGATCAAACAGCGCAGAAACATACTGCGACTCCATACAATAAACCACATACTTCGCCAGTTTTCTTCTTTAGCGCTGTTTAGCGCCCCTGACGTACTTGACGCATCAACCAGCAGCAAAAAGCGGGCCCCGATCTGAAGCTTCCAAGACAGCAGCTTCGCACGTGTCGTGGCGGCGGCTTCTCACAGGCCTGTTGCAGATTCATCTCATTCCGGTGCCTGGAGCTTGTGCATCCAAGACATTCCGTCCAGCAGCGGATAGGGCTTGAATGCGCACGCATTGTAGCTGGCCGGACGTGCATTTTTATGTCGCCCCTGCGCCAGGCGAGACCTTCTATACATTGGATGCTGAACCCTGTCCGGCTTTAGGCCTCGCAGCGCAGAACCATGAAGTTCGCAAAGGAGCTCGAGCGCGAGGCAGTTCCTGGTAAGGATTCGCTCCTTTCTTGTTGTTCGAATTACCATTGTTGTTTCCTTGTCCTTGTCGTTTTTGTTCATTTTCGTTTTGCTGTTTCTTATTGTGCCGCCTCGGCTTGTACAATCCAACGTGTTTCAACCGCTGACTTCTTTCGGCTCAACCACAGAGTGGCGAATCAAGTACCTCAACTACAAGGCAGGGAAAAAACACGTCAAGGCCATCTCTTCGGCCGTTCAGAGAACCTCGGGCTCTACACCTCTGACTCGAGGCTCAAATCGTCGCACGCCTACTTTCTATTCCATTGTAGATCCCAACTCAGAGCCGACCCCCACTTTTGCAGGTCAAGACGATGCTCCTACAAGCTCAAGATGGCAGGGGCAACCGAAATCGACGCCGGTGAACATTGCGAAGAAGGCTGTCGAGGATGAGGCCTTAAACAGCCACGAGAACAACTTACAGTATGGCAGCTTCGTGCCAACTCCTGCTGAACAATCGCGGCCGTTGTCTCGCGACCACCAGAGTGACGACCATCATGACAACCAACATGACGACCAACATGACAACCAGACCAACAACCAAAGCGGTGCCAACGACGACAACGAATTTGAGTTACCCGAACCGGCAATTTATACGACATCGTCATCTCCGGGCACCAGACAGCCGCTCAGTCCCGTTAAGAAATTTGCTCGTTTCAACTTTCACAGATCAAATTCGTCTGTTCCGCTAAACTCTGGAAATCTCCCACCGCTAGGGTCGGCCAACAATCATGAAGAGCAGCTTCGCCGCATCTTTTCTAGTGCAAAGGACTCTGGTCGAATTACAGGACTTCCGCGACAAAGCCTCGATCTTGTCCGAGAGCGAGAGCAGCAGTTTTACCAGTTTTTGGATTCAGAGCTAGAAAAGGTGGAGAATTTTTATCAGAAGAATGAGGACCGAGCTGGGCAGCGATTGATCATGCTGCGAGAACAACTTCACGAAATGCGCAACCGGCGTATACAAGAAATCGCCAACGAAGAGAATAATCGATCATTCTCCGGGCTGTCTACTCAAAAACCCCAAGAAGGCAATCCCGACAAGTCCAGTGGCTGGGTGCACCCCCTCAGGAACAAAATCTTCCCGCCAGGACCAAACTCTAAGAGCTTCCAGGACATGCCTCAAACACCTTACATGGCGGCAGGAGGAAGATCGCATGATGGCCACATGGACTATGTGCGGCGGCCAGAAAACCACGAGGTGGCTTATCGAACAGCGAAGCGGAAGCTGAAATTGGCAATGCAAGAGTTCTATCGCAGCTTGGAGCTTCTCAAATCATACGCTATGCTTAATCGCACGGCCTTTCGAAAGCTCAACAAAAAGTTTGACAAGGCCGTCAATGCTCGGCCTCCGATGCGCTACATGAACGAAAAGGTTAACAAATCTTGGTTTGTTAATAGCGATGTTCTGGAGGGCCACATCAAGGCCGTTGAGGATCTCTACGCGCGATATTTCGAACGCGGAAACCAGAAGCTTGCGGTTGGTAAGCTGCGCAAACTGCATAGGAAACCCAAGGACGAGTCAGGGAGCTCGTTTCTCAACGGGTTCTTCATTGGCACGGGAGCCGTCTTTACTATCCAGGGCCTCGTTTACGGTTCTGACCTACTCCATCACAACGATCTAACACTTCGTACCCAAACGAGCTACCTGTTGCAAGTATACGCCGGCTTTTTCCTGATGCTCATGCTCTTTTCCTTATTCTGCATCAACTGTAGCATTTGGTTACGAAACAAAGTCAACTATCAATTCATCTTTGAGTTTGATCAACGAAGTATGCTCGATTGGCGTCAACTGGCAGAATTTCCATCCTTCTTCCTCCTGCTTCTTGGGGTCATCATGTGGGCGAACTTCAGCAGATACGGAGACGACTCCATGTATCTATACTACCCTGTTGTTCTGATCGGCCTCACCATCCTCATCATTCTGCTTCCCTTCCCTGTCCTTTCTTACAAGAGCCGTAGGTGGTTTGCATATTCACATGTTAGTAGCCCCTCACTTCCCGATAAGGTGTCTTACCCAGCAATGCTAACCACACGATAGTGGCGTCTTCTTTTGTCCGGGCTATACCCTGTAGAATTTCGTGATTTCTTTCTTGGGGACATGTACTGCTCCTTGACCTATTCAATGGCGGTAAGTTGGCAACCACCTCTGGTACATCAATGGACAACCAATATCTGACTAGTTGTGGCTGCGATAGAACGTGGAGCTATTCTTCTGCTTGTATGCCCACCACTGGGAGAACCCGGGCCAATGCAACTCAACAAGTTCTCGCTTGCTTGGGTTCTTCACAACTTTACCGGCCGTATGGCGCTTTCTCCAGTGTATTCGGCGTTACAGAGACACACGCAACGTTTTCCCGCATCTGGTAAATTGTGGAAAATATACTGCAACGATATTGTCTTACGTTTGTCTATCTCTCTATCGCATTCATCATACTCGATCAAACCTTGCTTTATTTGTCACCTTTTCAACCATCAATGGTGTATATACTAGTGAGCTGCTCTCTTTGCTTTCCCCTTTACAACTTGCGTGCTAACTTAACGATTCAAGGCATCTGGGATCTGTTCATGGATTTTTCCCTACTCCAGCCTCAAAGTAGGCACACTGGCCTTCGAGATATTCTCGCCTTGAAGCACCGCTGGATATACTATGTTATCATGGTCGTCGATCCCATATTGCGCTTTGCATGGATCTTCTACGCCATATTCACGCATGACCTCCAGCATTCAACCATAGTATCATTCATGGTTAGCTTCGCCGAGGTCTTCCGTCGAGGCATCTGGTCTCTCCTCCGCGTGGAAAACGAGCACTGCGCCAACGTAGCTCAGTACAAGGCCTCGCGCGACGTTCCTCTCCCCTATCATATCGAGCCCCTGATGGAGCGCGCCAGCACCGAGTCCAGCCCTGTGATACAACCCCAAGGATTGCCACAGCCGCCTCAGCCGCAGCCAGCAGAGCACCCCAGCCTCTACGACTCTGCTAGCTCCACTGCCGTTGCTGGTCCTCCCAGTGGCAACCTTGCCCGGCGCCGCACCGACCTTCCTTCACCTCGCATCACTCGAAGCTTCTCCAAAGTGCTGGCGGAGGCGCATAAACAAGATTTCGAGAAGAAGCGAAAGCCCGCCAATGAGGGTAGCGATCTGACTATAGTAGCCGGCCAGAGCGACGATTTTGATGATGACGATGATGATGACGACGACGATTCCGCTACTTTGCCAGAATTGCCTCCCCGGGATGGTGAGAATGCAGCCTAATCCTTGGTTTATTGCATTATTGTTTTTTTTTCCTTCTCTCTTTCTTTTCTTTTCAGACTGAAGATCAGTTTTTGCGACTGATTGTTCTCTTCTTCTCTTGACGCTGCATAGCACGCGTAGATGGATAGATGTGATACATGACAGCATTAAAATAACTTTACTTACGCGAGCGAATAGCAATAAGAGCTATGCTTCTACTTTTGGGGGGATGGCATGTTTTGGACGATGACACAATTTTGAGCTAGCTCATATTTGCGGTTATTTAGACTGGATGATGAAGAAACAAAATTGGCGACATGGCAAGGAACATTGTGCATGATGGCTAGTATGGCAAAGGAGACAAATCTGGGATTGGAGAATCAATGCATAGCATGTAAATGAAAATGCATAAACAAAATTGTAATAGGAGAAGGGGTTAATAAAAACAAGATTGAACGGGAATTGAGTCATACTCTAGTATTCAATCATATTGCAAGCCAATTATTTTGCAAAAACATTTATTCGCTATTAAGTTTGTCATGAAATGACATGCAAAGTCTAGTTCTCCATCCATCTAATTGATCTCTCATCCATTACATTCCACCGTCAACAACAATGTCCTATGTATATGTACCATCTATTTCCTCAAAGCAATTCACTCCCATTCACCATCAACCTTTTCCCAAAAGTCGAGGAAGCCCTTGAAGAACTGCACTCCCAAGCCTGGATCCAAAGAACCAGTTGTAGCACGGATAGAGTGCATGCTCAGCTGAGGCAGACCCGCATCAGCAGCACGCACACCCATCGCGCTCGACAGCATGGGGCCAACAGTGCCACCGCTGCGCGAGTCGTTGCGGATCTGGAAGTCCTGCAGCTTGGCACCGCAGAGATTGGCGACGCGGTGCAGGATGGCGGATGAGACAGCGTCGGTGGTCATGTGGCCGTTGCTGTCGCCGCAGACAACCAGGCCGACGTTGAGCTTGGGGATGTGCTCGGGCAGGTAGTTGCCGATGAAGTTGGGGTGGCCGGCGTGGGAGACGTCGGCGGACAAGAGGAACGACTTGGCAAAAGTCTGGCCAATGACGCCAGGGCCGTAGGAGCTGGGGTTGAGAGCCTCGACAGCGCGTTCAACGGTGGAAGGGAGGAAGTTGCCGCGAGCACCCTGTCTTAGCAGAGATCCGATCTCTTCGTCGTCGAACAGCGCCACCAGCTTGATGTAGCTATCGTCATCTGACTCCGTAGTGTGCAGGAGACCCATGAGAGCAGACCATGAGCACAGCTTGTCGTCGATTCGTCCCGCAGTGATGAGCTCCTTGTCCAGGCCAAAGACAGTTGCGGGCTGTGAGTCGAAGAGCTCGAGCTCCCAGTTGACAATGGAGTCGTACGACGTGATGCCGAGCTGCTTGGAGATGAGCTTGACCAGCTTAGGCGGCTGGGTGTTGACAAAGGAGCCAGCAGAGCCCAGGATCTCAGTGTCAGCACCGTTAGAGCTTTCCAGCCCGATAACAGGGACCGCCTGCGTCTCCGGGTTGTTCTGGCCCATCATGCCAACGCCAAAGTGCGGCGCCAGCGTGGGAATCTTAGCAATAGGCCAGTCCAGCTCGACAAGCTTGCTAGTGGTCTTGCCCGTCTTCTCGTCGCTCACAATGACACGGCCGCCGATGCTCAGGTCTCGATCCCACCAGGTCTGGTTCAGGGCGCCGGCATAGGGGGCGACGCCGAGCTGGACGTAGCCAGCGGTGTTGGGCTTGGTGCTCACGGGCTTGAGTCGGGCGGTGAGGGCGTCGATGTGACCGGCGATCATGCCGACGCCGTTGCCAGGCTTGTAGGCCTTGCCAACGGCGAATGCGATGATGGAGCTGCCATTGCGCGTAACCCAGTACTTGCCGCCAGGTTGGATCTTGTTGGCCCAGGAGTCGCGCGCCGGAAGCTATAGGGCTGTCAGCTTTTGTCACACGTTGAGTGAGTCACCGGGCGCAAATACCTCTTCGTATCCAGCATCATTCAGCTTCGACTTGAAGTAGTCAACAGCGTGGAAGACGGTCGGGTTCTCGCGCAAAAAGTCGAGGAAGGGCTTGGTAAACGCTTCAGGCTTGAGGTCCTTCACGGCGCAGAGTTGGCACTTGTTCTCCTCGGCGATGTGCCAGTTCACCTGCTGAATCTCGCTGGGCGACAGCTTGGCGATGCATTTGATGCAGGCGCGGCTATCGACAGACGGGCGGCCGTTCATATCTGCGAGAACAAAGTGCTTCGAGGAAGCAAGAGATTGAACTGGGGCGGTTGGCGCTGGGATCCGCGCGGTAGAGGCAGTTGATGAACTGGCAACAGAAGAAGCAGAAGTGGTTGAATAGGCAGAGGCTTGTTGTCGGAGAGACAGAGCAGAAGGAACGCGGCGAGTCATGGTTGCGACGAGAATGCCGAGGAGAGTCGAAGAAAGGGATGCGCTTTAAAGGACGATGCAGGAGGCTGGTTCTTGAGCAGATCGCAGGGAGGAGTTGCGCATGCGCGGCTTACTGTCCGGCTTACGGAGCAAAGCGCCCAGCTCCCCGGATCGAGGCGCAGCACAGAAGCTGGGGTAGCACCATCGCTATCGCTATCAAGATAAGCTCGGGGCCTTTTGAAGGCGCTAAAGGGCGCCGTCGCTTGCCGCGGGAAGTCACGCTGCCACTGAGCTGAGGGGCGCTGGAATTAGGGCATCTGTAGCGGATAAGGCGCCATGGAGCTGGTGAAACAACAAGCCATCCAAGGAAGAGTGAGGGAGTGAATGGATGAGTACAATCTCGAAACATTCATATACGGTAGAATCATGTATGGGAGATGATAGCGAATGTACAAGCCGCCAAAATAGATACATCGAGTAAAGATAGGAACGTTTATCATGACCATCTTGAGGTTCTCCTTTCAATTGCTCGACATTACCGTCATGGGAGCAAGTGGCCAGCCGATATAACCGTCACTTACCGCATACCTGTGTCTTGCTTTCCGGGCCCAAAGAAGACTTTGGCAACGTCATAAGTCTATCCGTACGGAATCAGCTCAATTGGTATTGATTGTACCAACAATGTCTATGAAATGCTAGGATACCCGTCCAAGGTGAGACGCTTATCTTATTGTCTAATAACTAGCACTCCACAGCTCTTACGAGACAGTTTCCAAGCAGAGTATGACATGGCTTCGTCCGTCACAGATTCTTCGTCGGTTGTAAGAGCAGCCAATCCGTCGCTAGTCAGGGGCTGACTGTCTTGTTGTAATGTTGAATCATGGAGATAGAGTTCCATGGGTTCGTGTTCCATTTGAATCAAACAATAAAATTCACATGCGCATATTCATGGCTTGAGTATCATGCATGTACCTGTAGGAGCTATAACATCCATATCAGTCTACCGAAGGAATGTCAGCGTTTCGCATACAGAACTCTCCCTCCCATTACAGTTTCTCTGTAAGCACATATGCAATTGGAAATCTACATGCTTGCTACGGCCCGAAAATAAAATCTCATCAACGAATGTATCTGCAGAAGCAAAGATACGAGTACTCAGCTGGCAACCGAGGCGAATCCAGGTCCTGCATCCTTCGCGGCTATTATATGGAGTGCATGCAACAGCATCGCTTTACTTGCACGTAATTGGGGTGCGAAGGATTTGGCAGCATTTCCCTTAACCGTCTTTGGAACCCTTGTAAACCTTGATATCCAAAATGGGAAATTATACCACCATGTCAGTTGAGCTTATATCCAAGCTGCCATTAAAGGCGCATAAAAGTATACTATAACTGCAGCTACTTGGTAGTCACTTGGAGGAAAATGAGAAACTAATAAAGTGTACATATTATTATAATGTATTACTATATAGATTAAGACATTACTTTATACGCCTTCAGGTCCAGGCAATTCAGTACTGTAGCACCATTATATCCGTCGCTTCCAACGCCATTAACAAAGCTCGATCAATCAGGTCAAATTTTCGCTGCTGCTCAATGCAAAAAAAGAAGCAAACATTTATGGGCCGTACAGGCTCCAGTTGATCGAGGCAACATCGGCGTAGCACTCAGACTGGAGGGCAAACTCGTGGCTGGCGTAGGATCCAGCAGGGAGAGGCTCGAGGGGAGCACACTCGGGGAGGAGGCGGACGGGAGCACAGCCCTCGGGGAGGTTCCTCTCGACCTGGCCGTCGGAGCTGATGGTGGTGGCGGCCTGCTCGACGACGAGGAACTTCTGGCCCTGGTAGTACTGGAGAGGGTTGTTGCAGATGACGAAAGTCTCGGGCTCGAGGAACAGGAAGCCCTCAGGGAACTGAGAAATCTGCACGCCGGGAGTGCCAGCGCCGCCGTTGATGTAGGCGGAGGAGAGGGTCTCGGAGTCGGTGTTCTTGCTCAGGGAGAGGCCGAAGGGAGTCAAGGGAGTGGCCTCGTCGGTGATGGTGGTGGCGCTGCTGAAGCGGAACTCAGAGGCGGTGCCGTTCTGGTAGAAGACGTTGGAGACGTCCTTGGCTCCAACGCCGGCCACGTTGAGGCCAGCGCCGACGTGGATGCTGTTGACGTACAGGCCCTGGACGGAGGGCTTGAGGTCGAGGGCCTTGTCGGTGACGTTGACGACCAGGCGGAAGCCTTGGGACTCCTGGTGAGGAGGGTAGTTGGGCACAATGTTGGCGGGAGCGGCAACAGCGGCGGTGGCAAGGCCAAGGACAGCAGCAGAGAAGAACATCTTGAAAGAAGTTGTTGGTGTTGTTGTGTGGAGAAGCTGATTGATTGACTTGGCTCTTGATGTGATTGTCCAGGCTGTTGGATGAGGAGGAGGCTTCTGACCAAAGGAATGGGCGCCGTTGCCCAGTTATATATTCAGAAGGGCCGTCTCCACGATCGTCAGATGTCATCCAGCCAGCGGATCTTCCGAGACCAGCAGGTATGGGAGGGGGGAAAGAAACAAAGAAGCACAGACAAAGCAGCATGCCTGAGCTGGCATCGCCACTCACCCGCTGCGCTGACCTTCCCCCGCCATAAACAGCCCCCCAGTAGCCCCAAAGCACAGCGCCATCGCCCTGCTAAAGGCCGTTGGCCTATGCTACTTTAGGGGAGCAAGCCTTCCCAAAAGACCCCTAGCCAGCCGTAGCATACGAGGCTAAGAATGCCGACGTGACGCCACATCTTGATGATCGGCAATAGGCCCTTGGCAGCGTCATCAGCTCGTATTCCGCTTTGCATTGATGAGGGCAGGATATGGCAGCAATTGATTACATTTTCTTCTGGCATCGCAGCTGGTGGAATTACTCCTTTTCGATTACACTCTTTGTCCGGTCCGGCGGTGCTTCAGAGATCAAATGCGATATTCCAGAATGATCTGAGGGCATCTGTGGCTTCTGCGTGGCTTCATGCGCGCATACCGACTTACATGAGCGCCCGATCTTAGTAGCAGCTAATAAAGTTTGCCCTTGTTTTAGCCCAGTTAGTTTCGAGTCAGTCGAGTCGAGTCCAGCCTCTATAGTTACTCCGTAATAGTGACTGCTTCTCCGGAGTATAGGTCTAGATGCTAATACTACTTGTAACTTGAGCAAATCTCGTGACCACTGCAGAGCTCTAGCTTGGAGAGCTCTAAAGTGGAATATCCTCGTTAGCCTTTGGCCCTTTTCCCTAAAACACCACAAGATCGTCCATCACCTTCCGTGCTTCCCTTGTCTAATTTTAGACGTCAACCTATGATTCCACCTGCTCATTACTCGACCGAACGCTTTCATTACTCTACATGCTCCTTTGTTTTCCTTTCTCATTTTACCGTGCCTCTTTTATCCCGTTTTCTCGTATTTGCTGGCCTCTTATCGTTGTACGAAACCCTCAAAATCGACATGATTCCATGCAAGCATAAGGAGTTGACGGTGGAGCAATGCGGATGAGATGGGTTTTTCTGCCGGAGAATTTTCTTCAAAGACCACTGCCAATGATAAATTCTTCCACCTGCATAGACTCCTTGATATCCACTACAGAGGAAAAAGGGAGATTCATGGAGGCCTCGGAGGGGCAAGACAGGCGTTGTATGTCTTTCCTATTACTGACCACTATTCTAGTCTACTTGCACACTTTATGCTGACCTGCCCTGACGTCGCTAGTCACGTTTCAAACGGAAGAAGATTATGTGGAAAATGGCCAGGGATCATCGTCATATCACACGGCCAACCCGATTGGTTTTCTAGAAAAGAATTGTCAGTACTACCAGTTTGTAATACGGAGTTGGTATTTGATTTGATGGGCAAAATTCAGCCACAATTCGCATTACCACCGTTGCTTTCCCAACTCGGCAGAGGTCGTCATGCGAAGGATCCGGAAAGCTGTGCCGAGACTATGCTGGCAACATCTGCGTGTAAGTTCTTGGCTCTTGACATCCGTCGGCTCTCGCTTGCGCCAGCAACAAACACATTAGGCACTTGTTCGATTACCAAAACTGGCACCATCTCTTCGGTATAGATTACTGAATTCATCATAGTACACGCCTACGGAAAAGATACTCCGTGCAATGCTTTGCTACGTTTCACGTACAGCACAGCATAGCACAATACGATCATGTTCTCCTGAAAGCTCCACATTCAGCCCTGACGGCTGCTACGCTGCACTTACATAGCAGCACGTATATGCAGCGTCATATGCAGACCTATCTCCCAATATTGCCCGAGTGGCCTATCCGGATCTTCTCTCATCCTACATTGCCGGACTTAGAAAAGCCGGTCTACGCCACTCCCATCGGGAGATGGACGAGTAGAAACTGACTAGATTTATCGGCCCGTGCTTCTTCGTAGCTGGCAGTTTCGCCCGCCGCGATCTTCGGGAGAAGAAAGAAGAGCCATAGAATACGAGGCGCTAGGATGGGGCTTGCGGGCAATATCCCTGTCGGCTGGGCTTGTGGACGACGGGTCTAAGCGGCCGACGGCTGCCCCTTGGTAGGTGTTGAGTAACTGTAACTGTGTCCCTGAGCACTGCATCGTGAATCGTGATGGTAAATGGCAACTGAGATTTGCTGCAAGCATCAATATGATGGTGGCCGTGCACACCGCTGTTTCTATCCCTTACATATACTCTCAGCTAGCGAGTACGAAGTGCTAGCCGTAAACTTATAGTACTCTATTTGGCATACGAAATGCCCTTTTTGGATTCTATTTCTCTCCCTATTTCAAGATACAACCAGTTAGTCAGCGGAAGTTACTGATTACCTCTAGGGAGTCGAAAGCAGTCGAAGCCGCTGGATCACGGTCTGTCAGACCTTGAGCCCAAGCATCCTTCACAGCATTGAAGCGTCCAATGATCAACAGCCTTTTGGCAGCCTCTCACATCAGGATTCATGGTAACATCCTCAGATATGTTGGCTAAATTGAAGGTTATAGGAGTTCTACAGGGTAATAGAGATTAAACACAAGCTTGCATGTAGCTTCCGCTAACCTTCCAGAACTGGCTTTTGCACTAGTGGTAGATCTCCTGTAAGGCTTGTGTGCATTTCCAATAAAGGATTTTACCTCTCCTTCTACACTTCAGGTATTCCAATTGCTGATCACGGTGATCTAATACCGATTTAAGAGCTTGGTGTCAATAGCAGTCATCTCAATTACAGCTACTGCAACATGTTTCCGGAGACCAGGACCCAAGCCGACAAGCATCCCGTACCCGCTCGCCAGCTATGATCTGCCACTGGACCAAGAGGCTGGGCTTTAGTCTACATTGTTATCGATCTTTGGTTGCTGGCAGCCGGTGTAATGTCCTTCTCTTGGCTTGAATTTGTCCGTATCATAGATTCGTTGGTACCAATCCGTATTGGTCGACCAAGTTGCAAGTACTCGCTACACATCTAAACTTCACAACTGATGCTACCAGCTGACATGTCGCGGAGATACGGCTCACGCAACTTACAAACCTTACAATTCTGACGAGTGCATGCGCAATGCTACTGCTACTCCCCTTTTCTCAGTCCAAATCTTAATCTACTTTTCAATGACCATGGGGAGACAATAAGTTGGCTCTGATATAGGGTAACACAATATGCCGATACGAAGCCTCATGTTCATTCATGTTCATGTTCATATAATCAGTCGGCCGCAATTACGGCATCGTATCTTCAATAATCGCTTGGCAATATCGCAGTGTGCATCACTTCCGAAACAAGGCACTTTGTTCGAGCCAGTTCTCGTATTTTGCAGAACGCCATCCATCGTGATAATACGGAGCAAAAAAAGGGCGGTATGAATAATGCTGAGAAAGCATCTCCTGAATCACTCGCTCCGACATGAAATTCTCATCGACTTGTGCAGTTCTTCCGAGGTTTGATCTCATGCCCCCGTCGAGTCATCCAGGGCCTAAGCTCATGTCCTTGTCAAGTCATGCTGTTTGGCAAAGCATCCAACTTGGCAGAGTGTCACATTTTGAGCCTATTTCATTTCCATCGAAACGAAATTGGGCTCTGCAGCATCAAAGGTCCTTTAGGCTTTAGACGTGAGCGCAATGTCGTCGACAAGGAGGTTGTCGCCGCCTCACTGCACCACAGTGCAGTGCAATGAATGAGCTTGAAGCCCCGACACCGCCATGTCGTTGGGTGCAGCAACATTGAGTTGACCAGAGCTGACCGAATCTCAGTGCACCATATCAAGTCACTGTATGCTGATTCGTCCAAACATTCGCCCAGCCGCTCATTCTGCCCAAGACTGCTGTTTTGCCTGTGTCTTGTCTGGGCTGCGCATAGGATACACAATGTCTTAAGCAGCAAGAGCGCTCATATCACCCCCTCGAAGTCGTTCCGACCGCCGCTCGATTCGTTCCCCTCAACGACACAAACGTTGCATGTCAACGGGAGAAACAAAGACGAGAAAAACCGCCGGTCGACTTTCGAGCCTTTGAGAATATCGTCGTTGGTCCGACTCAAGAAGAGCATCACCTGCCACCGTGCCCAAACACGGTGTGAATGCCAGAGCTCCGTGGGGGGAGGGATTCTGCGTAGCTTTCAGTCTCTTGAGATCCAATCAGCAACAGCTCCTCATCGCAGCCTGTAACGCGTCATTTTTTTGAGCGCTTTGAGAACGGCCTAGACCTGCAAACTTGGCCCGAAAGACCGACGGCCGCCGAGTAAAGCGAGCCAAAGGGGTTCTCACTCGCTCGGACATGTCTCGCTAGGCAGAAGAGAGAGGAGATTCCCGCTTCGAGGTGTATATTCCGTAGAATACAGTTGACTTTGTTTTCTGTTGGTAATCTTCACATAATGGCCATTGAGCTTGCAAAACACGAAGCGGCATTTCTGCTTCCATTTGAGCGGCATACATGCCATCCATATTTGCCGAAATTCAGCATGTCACGACGCGCTGTCATGTTCAAGTATATTTTTCAAACACTCACGGCTCGGCGGCATACGCAACGCCGAAATCTGACGGATGGGCGATATTCGGGGAAGTGGGGCATTCGAAGCTACGTTAGCGCGCTGAGCACGCTGAGCACGCTGAGCACGCGAGATTGCCGCATATAAAGACGACAGGCCTGCGGGGGCCTGTTCATAGACCCGGTGCGGGTGAGGAGGTTCGGAGATTCGGGGAGGGCATCACGGGTCCCCCGGCAAGCGGGGAAACACCCATGCTTTAGTACCTGCATGCCTCAGTTTTCGATGGAACTAGGTCCAGTACTAGGCTACTAGATAGGATTGAGTGTGACGTGGTGACAGAGAGAACAGTCGCCTACAGTGAAACGGAACTCGTGTTCTTGTTGGTGCCCGCACAAATGGGAAGTGGGTGTGTTCATCAGCAGTGACACGGACTTGGAACAGGCCTAGATCTTGTTTCGTGACAGAGAGTGGCGATGAATGTGCTACGGAGCAAGGGAAGCATTTAGCTGTAACAAGTGAGCTTGGTATAGCACAAGTTATGACGCATGTTGAAATAGCTGAGAAGAGGTCTTACAGAGTCCCTGATGCGTAGACGGTACACGCAACTTACACGTTGTATCAGTACATGAATTCACAGGTATGTACTGGTCAATTGGGAGTGATCGATGTATGTCCTACTAGCTGTTCTTGTTCATCTCAATCTTAGTAGTCGCCGATTACATGTGAACACCTCAGTCTGTATCATCCCGTTTATTTACATTCAATGAGAATGGTAATTATATTGCCAGCAGTGAATCAGGTATCCGTTGTGATCTACCTACCTATGTTACGGCTTTGCTGAATCTGATTAGGTATAAGTTGGAGTGTATGGATGACAGCATCGAGATTAGCGTTAATATCATATATTAGAAAGGCCTTCCAGATATGAACAAACAATTAGGAGTGGGATGTGTTGTCTACCTACCTACCTATGTGACTTGACACCAAGTATCTTGTAGTTCACATGGCAGAGAGGTGATGCCTCATAGCAGCCTCTTGCTCAAGTATTGTATGGCATCCACATCGGATAACTTTAAATACAACTAAACGAGTAGTTTAGAACATGACCAGTGGTAGAAAAACGCCAAGAGTTCTTATCATGTAGTGCTTAATAGCTCGATCAAGTATGAGCCTTCTCATCTGACGAATCAGCTGTGGCACCAGGGACCTCAGATAGACCCTATACGTCCCTACACATGCTAATTAACCGCAAACTTTACAGCGCAAAGATGGAATGAAATGCATTTATACCATGTGATTTAGAGTTGCTCGTGCTGTGACGATGATGTTACCTAGTGGGCTTTGCTGTGGGTCTTCATCGACGACGGACGAGCATCCAGCCAGTCCTCTCTGGGCAGCGAGGTGAGGGTACAGCAGCGAATCTTTCCAGAAGCATTCTAGTCGTACGATGGCCGAATCGACGTGACGGTACGGAGTACAGGACCCGTCGATATCGACCCGCTCGTTCCTGCAGGAGATATGGAGAAGAGAGACGAGGCGAGAAAGATGCAGTGCAGTCTGCATTTCAGCTGAATGCGATTAAGATTAGATCTAGCACGGTGGTACGATAAAGCATGGCTATTATTCGCTTGTATCATTGCTTGTGTAGTCAATTTTGGAGACGTTGTCGTGGAAGGTTGGGTTATATGACAGTTCATGAACACATGTATGTAAGTTTAGTGTAATCTACTTCATGAGCATTGTAACAAGCATATATGTGCACTTGATTAGCGAACTATAAGATGATTGACTATAATGAATGCTAATATTAATTATCTTAATTCCAACACGCTTTCAATATAATATTTAAACTACCATTGGTCGCAGAGAAATGAACGCATCTTGAATCCTCTCTTGCCTATTAGGGTAGGCAAGCCACTACTCCAGAGCTGCATGCACAAGTAACATGCATACATGTTAGGATTACATATTTCTTGGCAATCTCAATCTCCTAGATGGGATTTGGGGTAGCAAGCGCGCTTACCTCGCCATTGCCATGCATGAAATGCTGCATATTCAAGCGAGTTCCAGTTTCTCATAGGTACTAGATGGACATCAGGCTGACTGACAGCAATTTGGAGGTCTTCAGCGGGGAGCCAAAACAGCGGGGCCTGCCGGGGGGTGGGTATCTTTCTACCCAATTTGGTCACAATGCGGCAGG